CGGGGAAGGGCTTGCCACCGTTAGATTCGAGCCGGCATTTCCCCCTCGCCCGTAATAATTACATCTGCCAGCAATGCAGCCTCACGCCGGCGAGGATCTTGCCCTCGCCTGTCGTGCTGCCGCAGGGGAACGGGGCTGGAGCCAAAGGAGGAGAGCTGTGGGTTTTTCCAAGCATTGTTTAACCCATGTACGCTTGAAGCACAGCGTGTGACAGAACACAGGGACTAATTTGATGCTGTTCACTCAGCTGCAATTATTTTTTTTTATTTTTTTTATACACAGTTTCAGATTAAAAAAAGAAGTCAGACGTATGATATTACTAGGCAGCCTGGCTTTGGAGAGGGAAAACCATTTTCTTTTGTCCTTCTCCAAGGAGCAGATGGATCTGCTTCCCAGCTGATCTCCCCAGCAGAGTAGCAGACACCTCTCATTGCCGGCACATCTTCCCCCTTTTCAAGGCTCTGAGAAAATTCATGGCAAAGCCCCGCCTCGAAATTTATTGCTTTCAAGCCAGTGTGTGGCCTGTGCTGCCCTCAGAAGTTCCCTCTATGAAGTACACCCACACTCTCCAGGGCAGAGAGATCCGCCTGACATCATTAGCCAGCAGCCTAGCTCCGGCAAGCCACCACCTGCACCAAGCAGATCTCTGAACCCAAGAGAACAGCCCACCTCTGCAAAGAGGGAGCGCGGAGGAGCTACCGTGTAGGGAAAAAGCGCCTCTGGACCCATTCCCATCCGGCTGCGAGGCTGCCTCCTCTCTCCCCTGCCTGTGAACAGGCAGACGGGGAACCCCTGCCTGCGTGCAGCTGCTGCCGAGGAGGGGCTGAACGCAGCTGGGGGGGGAGAAGAGGCTTGGGTGGCTTCGGGAGATCTGTGCAGGGAGGTGGAGGCTGGCCAGGTGAAGGTGCCGGGGTGAGGAACAGAGCCTGCTCCCTTCCACTGCCCTCTCCTCAGAGGTTTGAGGCCTGGCTAGTACCTCAGAAATCCTGGGAGTGGGCACTCTCGCCAGGCTGAAGGTTAGTCCGGAGCTTGTACATGTGATCTAAGGCTTGAGTAAGGAAAGTCCCGGTCGTGTTGATCTCCATCAAGGTTAAGTTATCCAGCTAAAAGAGAAAAATAACAGAATCTGGGGAAACAGGCCTGTCACAGTGGAGGACAAGGAACTCAAAAAGCAGCCCACGCTTTTCCTTTGGTGATGCCCCAAGGGACCGGCCCAGCTGCCACCCCCGGTCAAGAGAAGCACTATTTCCATAAGGTACGGGGAGCTGCAACCTGCCCATAAAGCAAGGTTTCAGCATATGGCTTTAGTTCCCAACTGACGTACCCGCAACCCAGGAAAAACATGCCCCAACCAGCATTTTCACAAGCAGCTCTCATCAGTCACAAGCCCACACAATCGCACGGCATCTGGAATCCTCCCAGCACAGAGCTGGCAAACCTCTCCCCGCACCTTGGCGTGAGCCTCTTGCTGCCTGACGAAGCTGTCTGCAGACAGCCGCAGCTTGGCGATCCGGGTGTCCCAGGTATCCTTCACCAGCGTTCGAATCTCGTCGGCTTTGGGGATGTTGTCTGAGGCACTAGAGGAGGAGAGAGAGGATCAGAACAGGCCGCGAGGGACTCGTACGTTATGTTACCGGCTTAAGTAATGTTGGCAGTTCTTCAGCCCTCTGAGGCATAAGCAGAACAGTTTGCTACAGAGAAAAAACCTGCAATTCAACATTAAAATCCAGCCTGGTACTTCTGCTGCTGGGATTTCTGGGATAGTTTATTTACCCAGGAATGCTCAGCTCTGATGCAGCATCTGGTTCTCACTAGAATCCTTCTGCTCTTTAATTGCCCAGCTGGTACGAGGTACACGGAGGGCCAATAACCCGGCCAAAGTCACAGGCAGCCAGGGAACTGAAAGGACTCGGCTGCGATTAGAGCCCCGGCTCTGCGCTCTCGTGGCTCTATCAGAGAGTATTAAGTTGAAAGGACTGTGCGAGTTGTGCCACATCCTCCCATTAAGGCAATTCAGCGCTGCCATAAGGACCTCGAGAGATCAGATCAATTCACATGGACAGAGCTGTCAGGGTTATTCTAGCGTGAGGGAAGGAGCCGCACGCCAAGAGCGTCATCTCCAGAGGAAAAGCCAGTGCTTAAATGACCACCCCGCCGTAATCGAGAGCTTAAAGTCAGAAGAGCCCGCGCTGAGAAAAATACCAGCCAGCACATTTTACAAGTGAAATGCCTCAGCAGGCAGGAGTTCAGACTCGGAATATCCCTGATCTCCTGCTTCTCAGGCCGAGGAAAGAGGAGCTTTCCTCCTGAAGGAGAGCCAAGGAAGAAGCCTGGAGGGCTTAGGCTGCTGAACAGATTGCAGCCATGGAACGCGCTGCCGATCCTCAAGGCCTCTACGCTTAGCTGCCGCTCAATAAAGCGTCACAGCCCCAATTATCAGGCCACAGAACAAGCAATCCCCAAGTTACTGAAATGCAAAGTTACCATGAGAAAACTGCTGCAACGAGATCTTGGCACGCTGTGAAATAAACCTCCATTAACTCTCACTTTCCCACCGCCCTCTGGGGTTGCTGCCAACGAAAGCTTGAAAAATTGTCTATGCAAGCATGTACTCGGGCGGAAACTGTTACAATACATTTCCTACTTACTAGTTTAACAGCAGCTTTGTGAGTTCCATATAATAGGGACTGGGCATCGGAGTGAAGGTGTCCTCTTTACGTTCCCGGTCTCGGATTTCCTCCAGTTTTTCTAAAATACAACCAGGAATGGTCAGGCATTGCCAGACCTCCAACGCTTCAGGCACATTTTTAGCCCCCAGGAAAACCCACGCGCTATTTCTGTAGGACCGACTCTATGTCCAAGCTTAGATCAATGTGCAGATGGAAAAAGGCTTCTATAATGAAGCACACAAGGATGCTGACAGAGGCATCGAAGCCACGCTTAGCGCACCATGCCGGGAGGCTGGATCTACATCAGATTGATTGCCAAACCGATCGCCTGTCGGGAGATGTTCCCTTCACCCACAAATCACTTGAGCCAATTCCTGTTTGTGCCCTTGAATGAATAAAGCAGGA